AAATATTTCTGCTCCCAATCACTTTGGATAAGGGATACTCAACTGTACATCATAATGAAGATATTTTGTGACATTAATAAATAAGATACAATCATTCTCTGTTGCAGTTAATCACACACTGTTATACATAATAGACCAAGCATAAAAAGTTACCCTAGTAACTAATTACTTTTTGCAGTAATGATCTGGAACAGTGTTATCTTTTGGCTTGTTGCATCCAGAGCTATAATGTACTACTTTTCAGTATATGATAATAGGGTTTCTGCCTGTTACCTATTGCTGGTTGCATTCTGATTCAATCTGAGTAATGAGATGGGAGAGGGTTAATGATATATGGAGTGGTGTAGGGCAAGTGATCAATAAAAGAGGCAGCAATAAGAAATGGAGGCAAGGAGGGGGAGGAGACATGGAAAACATGAGATGCATTAAAAATACAATTTTTAAAATGTTTGAAATGCTGCATGCCTTTTTTTTTTTGCTTTTCTCCATTCTTTTCAAAAGAAAGAAGCTGCTGTTATTGCCAGAAAGAAGGAGTCATTGTGAATGCATGGGGGTGGGGTAACTACATTGCGATATTAGTAAAAGGCAGCATTGGGTGTGCCTGGATTTTCTTGAGTTGTATGAGAGAATTTAGAAGAGGAGGAGATGCTTTTCTGTATGCATGGATTTGGCATGAGTTTTAGAACAATTTTCTGCAGAAATAGGACTGAACTGATGTTTTCTGTGCATCTACCCAAAACATCTGTGTGCAGTGTGCATGATAGCTGCATGGTCTACTAAGTTGTTCTTGTGAAGATGGAAATCCAGACAGGCTAATCCACTTTGAATTATGTTTATTGACAGCTGCGTGGGCTGGAGGAGCAAGGAATATTTTCCTGCATTTTTCAATAGCCCAATAGTAATAATAATGGTAGTATTTTGCTCATGAGTGATTCAGCAAATTATCTTTGTGGACTGTAGTAACATTAATAAGTAATGGTTTTTTTGGGTGATGAGTAACTCAACTAGTTTCTATTAAAATGTTACATTTCAGGCTCTGATATTGGCAACCCAAACATGTCTCAAGGATTGGAAAATGAACAGCCAGGAGTACTTGTCCAGTCGCTGCCTGAGGATCTATAGTGAAAAAAAGAAGGACGTGGCAACTTTTCCCCAGGGGATTGCTTCTTGCCTTCCTTTCGAAAACTGGAACTCTCGAGGATCAACAAGACACCATAGATAACTCGAAATAGGCTTTATTGTTCACAAAGAGTTATCTTTCTAAGGCATTAAACTTGATGTTCCAAAAGGGGTAAAGAAAATATACATTACAGTCTCTGGTAGTCTTGGGTCCAAGGAGTTTTCCAGCTGAGTTCCCTCTTTCTCAATGGCTATGAAGTCAGAACATTCACAACCCCAGTCCAATGGCCTATACTGAAGGCACAAAGTCTTCCTCTTGATGCCAAAGGACTGGTTTGAAGGTGCTTAAGATTCTCAACGTCGTCCAGATGAGCTGGGCATGAAGTACGAATCATAAGGGTATAAACCTGAGAATTGTTGGTAAGAAATGACTTGACCAAGGGCTTTGAGCCAAGCCTTTCGCAAGTCCATCTGTTGAGGTTTGGTGGTAAGAATGAAAACGAAAGCACTGCCCTCCTCCCTAGGAAGGGGTGGAGCCAAACAACTGAGCTGGGGGAGCAAGCCAACCGATGCAAAACAACATTGATAGACAGCTGTAGATAACCAAACAATTCAACTATACATTTACATACAAGTGGCGCCAATCACGCCATCACAGTACTCCTGCTGCAGAAGATATGCAGATTGATGAGAGATTCGGTTGATACTCCAATCAAAGAGTGTTCTCTTTGATCCATTTTTTATTGCTTGTAAAGATATACTTCTTGATTTTGAGGATTTTTTTTTTAAAAAAACATGCCAGTCCTTTGAAAACCAAATCTGGCCTATTTCAATCCGTTTCCAACCCATTATAATAACGTGACTTGCAATGTGAAGACACATTGCAGGATATGTAGTTTTATATTGAAATACGCATCTGAAGGATGAATCCATCACACATCTGAGTATCCTCCCTTTTGCAGAAGGTACAAAATACATGATAAAATTCAAAGTCAAGAGCAACAAGTTGCTAAGATTTAAGCAAAACACCTGTATAGGGTACTGAAATGTTGAGCTATGTGGCAATGGTCTGAGTCATTGCTCATGGTTCACATTGTTGGATGTCTGCTGAGAACCACACTCTTGGAAAAGACCCCATGGCTTTGCTGTTCCTTGTCATCACTTGCACCCTTTGAGCCCAAAAGCAGCAAAACAGTGAAGACACCAGTGTGTTCGGGTAATGGAGGGGAATCCTAAGTTACTGTCCTGTTGTGCTATAACTCTTAACTTTTTTTTAAAGAAGGAAGAACTGGTTCAGGTAAATATATGTCCCAAACAGAACACAATGGCCTAGAAAACTGATGGGGAAAATACTGATAAATGTTGCAAGGAAGTTACTCATTTTTCTAATGAATTACAGTACTCTGATAGTATTGTTGAAGGCTGGGTTGTTGTGAGTTTTCTGGGCTGTATGGCCATGTCCCAGAAGCATTCTCTCTTGATGTTTCACTTGCATCTATGGCCGGCATCCTCAGAGGCTGTGAGGTCTGAACTCACAACCTCTGAGGATGCCTGCCATAGATGCAGGCAAAACATCAGGAGAGAATGCTTCTGGAACATGGCCATATAGCCCAGAAAACTCACAACAACCTACTCTGATAGTGTTTTATTGTTATGTCCATGTGGCATTGAATTTTCCTGGAGTTTATAAGCCACCTAGAGTCTCCTGCATGGGGAGAAAGGTGGGGTAAAAACAAAGTAAGCAAGTAAATAAATAAATAAATAGCTAAGTGTTGTTATCCTTTGCAGCAATGAACTAGAACTAAGATACTTTTTATCCTGTGGTGACAATGGTTATAATTCACTACTTGTTGCTGTGTTTGTATTTTTCTCTCTAGTTCAAGGTTGCAACATCAGAATCAATCACATCAGAGAGCATTTTGTATGGCATAATGGTAACTGTAATAGTAACTCACTGGTTAGTAACAAGTGATACAGTGAGTCACCTGTCTGGATTACAGTAACAACTATTGATCATTTGGGTGATCCAAGTAATATGTTAAGTTTTCTTTAAAGAAATATTTCAGTTTCTGCTTCTTCTTTTTTTTGTCATATCAGGAGCGACTTGAGAAACTGCAAGTCGCTTCTGGTATGAGAGAATTGGCCGTCTGCAAGGACGTTGCCCAGGGGACGCCCGGATGTTTTGATGTTTTACCATCATTGTGGAAGGCTTCTCTCATGTCCCCACATGGAGAGCTGGAGCAGATAGAGGGAGCTCATCTGCGCTCTCCCCAGATTTGAACCTCCGACCTGTCAGTCTTCAGTCCTGCCGGCACAAGGGTCTAATCCACTGCACCACTGGAGGCTCCTTCAATTTCTGCTGTTAAGCATATAAATGACAGCAGTCACCTTCCAGTAACTGCCAATAACAATTACAGCCACCTTCTTTAGAAAAATACATGCACACCATATCATACAGTTAAAGAAAAACACCAGTCTCTCAATAAAAGTGATTTTCTTTCCTGAATAGGATAACCTCCAGCACTACGTCCCAGAAGCACTTTATTAGAGCTTAAGACTCTCTGCACATTGCACTTGCCCAGAATCCCAACATATCACCTCTTACACCCAGCACTTTTTAACCTGTACCCTTCATTGGCCCGGCCCTGGTTTTATTTCGTAATAGTGTTATGTTTTGTTGTTGTTATTGCTTATATTTTTAATTTGCTTGCATTGTATTGTTATTGTTTGTTGTTGTTGTTGTTGAGGCCTTGGCCGTTGTAAGCCGCATCGAGTCCTTCGGGAGATGCTAGCGAGGTACAAATAAAGTTTAATAATAATAATAATAATTAATAATAATAATAATAATAATAATTTCCTAGCAAGAGATGTGCTCTTGTTGTCTCACTGCTGCAGATAGCTCAAAACTATTTGCTACCTAATATAATAGTTCCTTTCTTTTTACATAAAATAGCCAACTTGACTGATAGATGAATTGTACTTTAACACTGGCATTGAGACAGCATCTTACACGTTCACTCAGTTTAGCTAAGAATTTATATATCTGCTCTCTAAAGTGGAAAAGTTCTGGGAGATCAGAGTTAGTAACTGCCTGAGAAAGTTGCTTCACTCAATTTCATGGTAGGTCTCCCCTTGTTTACTGCTTCAGTTACTTATACCTTTGCTCTATAGAAACTTCAGCTTCTGAAAAGGACTTAAGAACCCAGTATTCAAAGATAATGGAAGATACAGTCTAAAAACTTCTAGAGTGTCACAACTGATTTCCCCAATCATAAATGCTCCGTGTTTATACCAACATAACGCATCCACTGCCATCTCTCTTCACTGCCATCAATTTTTGAACCCACATATATAATTCAAGTGAGTTCTCCCTTTTGGAACCCCTTCCTTTCAAAGGGGTTTGGGTTTGAAGAACAGGATTAAGGAAGCATCCTTCCTGAGACCCTTTCCTTTCTTCCTTTCAAGGAAGTCTGGGTTTGAGCAATGGGATTAAGAAAGACACATCACAACATTAGTCTATTCTGACTGGCCCAACATGCAGGGTTCACAGGGAAATCCCATGCAAGCAGTACAAGGTAGACTCTCAGCACTGCATGGTGCCGGAAAGGGGTGGAGGAGTTGTGATTGGCTGCCACGTGGTCCCGTTATGGGCCAAAATGTAATGGCTGAGCCCTTACCGTTATGGCCATCTTACCAAGACGAATTGGCCAAAGGGAACCGATCACTCTGAATCAATGCACAAGCCTAATGAACAACTTCCAACATCCCTCATCATTGGATAGGATGGAATGGAAATGATTTGGAGAGCCATATATCCCCCATGTCTTGTTTTCTAAAGATGACAAATAGCAAGCTTTGTTTAGAGTTTCTTGCTCACCTACCCACATAGAGGACACCTTCTTTCGTCTTCCCTGCTGCTTCTGCAACGCCTTGCTTAGTTTTCTCTGCTGCTGCCACAACTCCATCCTTGGCTTTATTAAATCCTTTCATGAACACATCCATGGCCAAAGAATGACTGTATGCTGAACTGGAAAGAAAAAAAACCGATAGTATAAACAACAGCTTATCTATGCATTCTTCTACCAAGTGATCAATGAACTGGTACAGTCAAATTCATAGAGATAATCCATATGTGGAGGAAGCAGGGAGCACGACCATGTGTCATTTATCTCTTCTATACTGAGTTTGTGTATATCCAGTTTATACATATTAGATCTGTATCACAACTAATTTTCTGAAACCAAATTAAAATATGTTTTAAAACATTTAAAAATCTATAAATGATATGACAACCAGAAATTAATCTGCCAGTCTGTTTCTGAGCACAATTCAAAGTGCTGGCTTTAGCCTACAAAGCCCTAAATGGTTCCAGCCCAGCTTACCTGTCTGAATGTATCTCCCTCTATGAACCATCCAAGAGGCCCTGCTCTCGGTCCCATTTTCCTTGCAGGTGCGACTGGTGGGGACGAGAGACACAGCCTTCTCAGTGGTGGCTCATCAACTATGGAACTCCCTCCCTAATGAAATGAAATTAGCACCCTCCATCCTGGTCTTCAGAAAAAAAGTAAAAACTTGGCTATGGGACCAAGTTTTGGGCAGTAAGCAATGCAGGGAATGATCCAAGATTATGTGGAACTGATATTTGACATTTGGAACAGCCTTGGACCATGATTTCTGGATTATGCGGTTTTAATATTTATATTAATATGTTTTTAACTCCACATTTAAATTGTCTAAATGTTGTTGTGTTTTTATGATCTAATTGATAGTTATATGTTATGGTTGCTCTATGTTAGGTTTTTTATATAAGTGAGGCATTAAATTTTGCCATAAATATGTTGGAAACCCTTTTGAGTCCCCCCTGGGGTGAGAAAAGCAGGATACAAGTGAAGTAAATAAATAAATCATGAACATATATGGGTTATATGTTTTCAGTAATATCTTTAGATATCCCCTATTTACTGAAAATGTGAAGCTCAGTAATATTTTTTATTCCCCTGTGTGCTTTTATAAGTTCTCCTGCTCTTTTAAATACCCAAATGACATAGTGAAATGTGGCTATAAAGAGCTATCTTAATGGAGAAGAATTACTCCCATGCAGTTTCTGCTCACTACTGAATTTATTGACTATGCTTCTATACCGCCATTCTCAGCCCGAGGGCGACTCGTGGCGGTTTACAAAATGGCACAATTCGATGCCCACAACAGTACAAAAATAATTTAAACATTAAACACATTTAACACAGGTAAAAAATTCATTACAATTAACATCAGTAACATAATAAAAACCATAAGTCCTCCGCATTTCATTTCCAGTCATTATCCAATCACGTTGTCCAACCATTCCGAGATCAGAGTTTAATAGCTACACTGCGTTTGGGAAGGCCTGCTCATATAGCCAGGTTTTAACTTTTTTGCAAAATGTTAAGAGGGTGGGGGCTGATCTAATGTCCCTGGGGAGGGCATTCCACAACCGAGGGGCCACTGCTGAGAAGGCCCTATCCCTCGTCCCAGCCAATCAAGCCTGTGAAGAGGGCAGGGCCGAGAGCAGGGGCTCCCCAGAAGACCTTAAATTTCTATAGGGTTCGTAAGGAGAGATACATTCGGACAGGTAAGCAGGGCCAGAATCATTTAGGGCTTTATAGGCTAAAGCCAGCACTTTGATTTGTGCTCAGTAGCAAATTGGCACCCAGTGGAGCTGGCGCAACAGGGGAGTTGTATGCTCCCTGGGCGCTGCTCCTGTTAGCAACCTGGCTGCCACCCGTTGGACCATTTGGAGCTTCCGAACAGTCTTCAAAGGCAACCCCATGTAGAGTGCATTGCAGTAGTCTATACGGGATATAACCAGAGCGTGAAACACCGTGGCCAAGTCAGACTTCCCAACCTGGATGGATGCTCTATAACTGATCACATAAAATGAGGTTGTACTGTTCTATAAAACAGCTTGTCTATTTCCAGCAGGTGAGCCAAGTATTTGAATTTACAGGAGAATGTCCACCAATTTCTATAAGAGTGACTGACACATATACACACGCATACCCTCTTTTGTGGTTCAACAAGAAGGGATGTTTGATACAGCCATTTCATGCAATGCAAACATAGGCATATATCTGTTCTCACACAGTGTCAGAATGGAAATTGGGCTTGCAGAGTTCAAGTATCAGGATGTTCTGATTATGAGGAATGGTGCACAGATTTAATAAAAGAGATTTCTCTAGCAACAATATATGTTCATCAGCTCTGAGTGTATATGTATACACAGTTAGAGCTGATAAACATATATTGCACGTGCACATACATAGATCCAAACAAGTGCTTCCAATTCTGGACTCTCCTTGCAGTATATTGTTATATGCAGGCCTGTAGCCAGGATTTCGATTCGGGGGGGGGGGGGCTGAGTTTTTTTCAGGGGGGGGTTCGGGGGGGGCTGAGTTTCGGGGGGGGCGGTATGACAGATCTAAACCGATGGGATTTGGAATACCCCGAGGAGATCAGACCAGTATGACCCTGCTGTCTTCATACACCCAATGAGGAAGGAGATAATAAACTGTCCCTTTTTCTCAAGTTGTCCAGTTGATCAGCTTGGATGGTTCCTGAACCCAAAACTCTTCTTTTCTTTTCATATGCTGCAAGGCCATGCCGAGACCACCATGATAATTTCGGGGGGGGGGGGTGTTAAGCCCCTCAAGCCCCCCCCCCCCCCCCCGGCTACATGCCTGGTTATATAGCTGTTGAGATAAATCCCTGACTACTTGTGTAATCATTGCATCTTTGTATCTCTGATATTGTATTGTACCTTCAAGGAACAGACCGAGGAAGTAAATTAGGCTAAAATATAACAACCAGACCAATTTTAGCCTAAGCAAGGATTTGAACTCCCAAATTAGATACACTTTGTTGTGTATGTGCCTTCAAATCACCCGCCACTTTACAAGGACCCTATTAACTTCATGAATTTTATTATGTGCATCATCTGAAAGAATGTGTCATTGCCTCATCACAAGGGCAACCCCATTCTTCTGGTGCAAGGAGAATTCTGGGAAATGTAGTTCAGGGTGGGGCTTTTTTACTATTCTGCTTTCTCGCCTTCCCAACCTGCATTTCCCAGCATTCTGCTCACATCAGAAGAATGGGGCTGCCCACGTTAAATCCCCAGTGTGATAAGGGGCTATAGTTCTTTCTTCAGTTGCAATATTTATCAATATTTTAAGGTCAGCAACCTATCAATTTATCCATTGATAAGACACAGAATGATATACTTCTGTCTTTCTGTAGTAAGACATTATTTTCCATCAGTTGATTCCTTTTGAGCCTATCTCCTTACATCTTTAATCTTATTCACCACTTAGTAAAATGATTTTTCAGTTCAAGACCCCTCAAACAGCTGTCAATTTAACTACCATTTACAATTCTGTTACAGTGCAAAGCACACGTGTGCAATTATTCCACCTGGTTTATTCAGTTCTTTTGAGAATGCATTTTCATTCTGTACTTCCATTTTGAATCTTGTACTATGATTTCTTTTTGGGGTGAGTAGGTAGCTGTCAGCCATAAGGGAACCAGGAAAAAAGCCTGTCTTGAATGCTGAGGAAAGAACTACTGCAATTCATCAGGTCTGAGTGGCATTCAGATGATGTATCAGGAGTGCACCCAATCAGTGATTACTAAGCTGATAATTCTATTAATTCCACCATGTTTCTTGCTTTAAGTAACTATCAGACCCAGCCCTACTATTAGGGAAAGGCAGCTGCTTTGGGTGGTGGGCGCTGCTGGAGAATAGAGCTAAATGAACCAAGCCTCTCAGGGCAAAGCAGTGCAATTACTGAAGTCAAAAGAATATCCAGTGGATAGTCAATCAACTTTTGAATGAATGATGGGCATCTTTGCCTCAAGTACCAAAATATTTTGAGATGAAACTGTGGTTACAGTTTCAATCATGCAGCTTAATCCAAGCAAGTGCCATAACACTAAGTTGAACTTATCATAGGATTTTCTGGGCTGAAAGTGTGCAACTTAAATAAGGTGATCTAATGTATTTCCATGGCTAAGTAGGGAACTGGGCCTTCATTGGGTTGTTGTAGGTTTTTTTCTGGCTATATGGCCATATTTTAGAGGCATTCTCTCCTGACGTTTTGCCTGCATATATGGCAAGCATCCTCAGAGGTTGTGAGGGCCTTCATTTCCAGAGTTATCATCAGATGTCCAAACCAGTAACCATGTTGGTGCTCTCTCTAACAATTGGCTCTGTTGGGAAGGGCTGGTGGGAAATGCAGTCCAAAACATTGTGCCCACTCATTTTAACCAAATATCGCTTTGTTGTCTATTTGTCTTTTAGTCAAATTAAATAATTAAGCCAATAAATACATCAGAGCTCTAATTCTGCCACATTAAAATAGATGAAAGAGCAGAAGCTCATATTCCTACTTTGGCTGCTGTGCAGCAAGCCCTTCTGAACCATGATTAAGTGAGTAATATTTTGAAAATAGGAGTGTGAATTATCATTTAACACACCAGGAAGGGATGAAAAAAGACTTCCAGCATTCTTTAAGAAGGGAGAAGTATGAAATGGTATTTACAAGGGAGTTTGTGGCATTAACATCAACCAGCCAAAGATAGTACTGCCCATTAAATTCCTAATTCCTGCCCCTTTTCAAGTGCATCATCCTAGAAGTCCCACCCTAAACAGATGTACTGCCTTCACTGGATGTCTCAGCTGCAGATGGGGCATTCTGAGGGGATGACTCTCCATGACCATGTGGACCAATAGGAACAGAGGCTTATTACCCAAGTGCACTGAAATGGTCCAAAGGGCTGGCCATTTCTCTTTCTGCCCAGATGAACACAACATTTGGCATTTTTAGCCTGCAGAAGAGAAGACTGAGAGGATCCATGATGGCCATGTATAAATATGTGAGGGGAAGTCATAAGAGGAAGGAGCAAGCCTATTTTCAGCTACCCTGGAGACCAGGATGTGGAACAATGACTTCAAAATACAGGAGATTCTATCTGAACATTAGGAGATTCCATCTGAACATTACTTCCTAACTGTGAGAGCTGTTCAGCAGTGGAACTCTCTGCCATGGAGTGTGGTGGAGGCTCCTTCTTTGGAGGTTTTTAAGCAGATGCTGGATGGCCATCTGTCAAGGGTCCTTTGAATGTGATTTTCCTGCATCTTGGCAGAGGGTTGGACTGGATGACCAGTGAGGTCTCTTCCGACTCTATGATTCTATGACCCTTCTGTGATCATTTGTGTCATGGCACTCTGTAATCACTTCCTACTGGTTCTTGAGGGTGTCACATGATCATGTAGTATCACATGATCCTTCCAGATACTACTAGTGAAACTTTCTGAGAAGAGGGGACAGCTGGTTTCAGCAGGGCTTCTGTGGTGGTGGTGCATGATGCTCGGAAAACTACTTGTTACTGGCCCATGAGAGTATTGTGTGTTCATGGCACACTTTACATCAGGTATTGTCAAAGCAAGGCCCGTGGGACGAATGTGGCCCCATGGGCGCTTTCCTCTCACCCCCTTTTCCCCTAACATTTCAGCATAAGGATGTGGTGGCCCACTGCATACTTATGCCTAAAGCATGGGCAGGGCAGATATGTGGCTGCTGACAGCCCTGTGGAAGGCTCTCAGCAGCTGTGTGCCTTCTCCTCTTCTTTGCAGGAGAACACAGTGGGTCCCTTTGTCATTCTGCCACAAGGAGTGCCCTGCAGGTCACACAGCTGTGCAAGGCTCTCCCGAGAGCCATGTGCAACTGCATATAAAAACCTCCCCACTCCCCTCATGGCCAATCACCCCTGAACCCCGCAAACCAATCCTTGGTCTGCCCCCCCCCCCCCCACTTCCAACTCCGTTTGGTCTGGGATGCAGTCCCCTCTCTGAAAAGTTTTCCTGTGCCTGCTTTACAGGGAGGAGCCACTAACATCTGGGACAGCATCTCTTCATAGTATTTTTAAAGACAAATCCTCCTATACTGAAAGTGTTCAAATACCAATTATGGAACTATTTGCAGTCAGAGAAGGAGAGCACGTCTCTGCACAAGATGTCATTTCCTGTTATTTACAATGGTACAATTTAAAACAGAAGCATTTCACTTTAATTTGATTTCTCTCTGTGTGTGTGGGTAGGGGAGTTTTTTAAAATCCCCTTTCAATAATGAAGATAATATTTCTAGGCCATATCTAGCCTATTTAGTCAAGTAAAGAAGTACAGTAGTCTTGCTTATCCAACATAAATGGGCCAGCAGCACGTTGGATAAGCAAAAAGGTTGGATAATAAGGAGGGATTAAGGAAACACCTATTCAATGTCAAATTACATTATGATTTTACAAATTAAGCACCAAAACATAATATTTTACAACAATTTGATTTAAAAAGCAGTTCAATACATGGTAACTTTATGTAGTAATTACTGTATTTATGAATTTAGCACCAAAACATCACAATATATTGAAACAGCTGTAGATCCAGACAGGAAGCAGACTGCGTTGGATAATACAGAATGTTGGATGAGTGGAGGTTGGATAAGCAAGACTATACTGTAGTAAGATCTGTATGAATGTTCCTTACTCCTGTGAAAAGAGCCAAAATATCCTCACACATCTCAGAAAAGATATCCAATTGCCCACCTACAGATTCCATAGAGTCTTGGATGAGTGTGTTCTTACAGAAAGCAATGCATAAGTGAAACAGACTGTGTGCATGATATCTTATGTTAAAATTTCTTTTTTTTAGCCTCTTTTTGGATTATTTTATGCTTTTTCATGTTCATATATAACCAACAAAGTCTAATGAAGCAAAACATACTAGCATGGTTAGCTCTTTGAACACTACTACAAGGCAACAAGCACCATTAGTCTGGATGTGGGGGGTATTAATAGAGTTCTGGTTCTAGGTAAATTATAAACAGATAGAACATAACTCAATATTTCATGGCTTGGAAATCAGGTTGCATTTGTACCATATCCAAAACACCCAAAAGACCTGTTATCTTAAAGCACCACAACTCCATCCTTCCTCACTCCTGGCAATATTGCTTGGGGCTGCTGGGAATTACAGTCCAATAACTATGCTTACAGTTGCCTCAGAGACTTGTTAGTGTTCTTAAATGCCACTGTTCTATGCTTGTTATTTCCATCTCCCCAAGGGAATTTTAGCAGCAAACCCTGCTAGGAGCAATGCCACTGAATTCCTGAGGAGTCAGGGCGAGGCTCTGGAGGTGTTTACTGAATCGTTTGGTTTGCCATTGTGGAGAAGACAGAGAATTATGTCCTCATTAGGATACAGATAGAGATGTAGCCCATTCACTGAAATGGATGTGTTACTCCCAATAGCAAAACAGTTCAGGTCTATTTTGAATGGATACTACAACATTCCTCACTGGTCCTAGAAGTCCAGCAAAGTGATGCAAATCAACCCCAGCCCCTCGAGGGGAAAAAGAAGTCAACCACATGCATATTTTGATTTGTGACAGTAGCCAAAAGATCTATAAAGATGTATACAGATTCAGAGTTCTGAAAAACAGGTGTTCAGGGCTAGACACCTGTCCACACATACGTACTTGCAACATTTGGAAGCTGCTCCACAGGTATCCAAAGTCTCATAGTCATTTTATTAAAATAACAGTAAATACAACACGACTCAGGGAACATGAAAGGCACTGCAGACTAATTCAAACAGAGAAGTCAGCCATAGTAGAGCACTTGATGAACCAACCTGGACACAGCATATTATCTGAGAACACAGAAATGCTGGACTACTCTAACAACTATCATGTCAGGCTACACAGAGAAGCCATTGAAATCCAAAAGCATGTGGACAATTTCAACAGATGGGTCCCTGCTCCTGCTTTCATGGCAATGGGTGGGAAAGAAGGAGAGTATGGTAGATTCCTGAAGAGGTAACTCTACTTTCCAACAGATCTCACAACCTCTGAGGATGCCTGCCATAGAGGCAGGTGAAATGTCAGGAGAGAATGCTTCTGGAACATGGCTGTACAGCCTGGAAAACTCACAGCAATCTAGTGATTCTGGTCATGAAAGCCTTCAACAATACAAAATAAATCCTGCTACTTCCAACAGGACTTACTTCAGAAGGCAGCCTATGTCACAAGATTGCTATGTTTGCCTGAAATCTTGCACACGAGTTAATTCCACACTAAACCAAGCTCTATTCTTGAGTAAGTCATGCAAATTGGCATTGTCATGAGGATACCTTTCTTATTGTCCATCTGGACACTGTAGAATGGTGGTGTGTGACACTATTTTAATAGCCATGGCTCATGTATTGATGCTTGTTGTAGTTTTACAAGGTCTTTAGCTTTCGGCCAACAACAACAATTCTATTGATTAGCCAATTGGCCTTATCAAAAACAAACAATGCAGACATAACATACAACATTTGGCAAACAGTGCTAATACCTCCAAACTACAACTCCAAGGATTTCATACCATAGAGCCTTGGCAGTTAAAAGTGGCATCAAACTACATTCACTTTGGGTTATTGTGAGTTTTTCAGACTGTATGGCCATGTTCCAGAAGCATTCTCTCCTGATGTTTCACCTGCATATATTGCAGGCATCCTCAGAGGTTGTGAGTTCTGCCTCACAACTTCTGAGGATTCCTGCCATAGATGCAGGTGAAACATCAGGAGAGAATGCTTCTGGAACATGTCCATATAGCCTGTAAAACTCACAACAACACAGTGATTCTGGCCATGAAATCCTTCAACTATACATTTACTCTGCACTGTATTTGTATCAGACAGGACACCAGGCTACAAATCCTATGATTCCATTCCACTGAGCAATGGCAATCTAGCTGTTTTGAAACTGAATTGTAGGGATGTAGATGCACCCCTAGATCTACCAAAAGCAAGTTGTTTTCCTGCTCAGTGGAATTTACTCGCCTGTAAGTGCGCCCAAGACTGGCAAAAGCCATCCCTCCACAAACCTTCTCTGTTTCTCTCCCCAAAGGGGAGAAATAGAAGAACCCAGTATCAATTCAACCAGTTTACTTACCTTCCTTGCCAATGAAATGTGACTCCTTTCGCCTCGGAACTCTTTCGAAGTGTGATTAAGAGCAGGGAGAAGAGAGCAGGGCGATGTTTGGCTTAGTACATCCCGGCTGAAGGATGCAGGGATGCAGGCAAGAGTGGTACCCAGGTCCAAGTGAAGTAAGGCGAGGAGGGGAAAGAGGGGTCCCAGTTTCCGCTTTCAGGGCAATGGGTGGGAAAGAGGGAAGACAGCCAGGGCTTGAAGGGAGACCAGCCAGTTCCTTCCCTTGCTTCTCCTCCTCTCTCTCCCTCTTTCCCCCACTCCCTGCGCCTTTTTTCACCGCCTCTTGCCTCATTCGTCAGGTAGCAGAGGCAAGCCGCGCCCAGGAGCCAAGCCGGAGCCAGGACGCCGCCTTCCTCCTCTCCTCCTCCTCCCTGGTCTCTCCATCTTTTGCTGGCTCCACCCGGTAGTAAAGAAGCCCCCTTATTCCTCTTCCCCTTCACCTCCGAAATACACCTCGAAGGCTTTCCTGAAAGGAGAAACTCTTCCTCCTCCGATGGGCAACAAGTGGGGAATTTTTCTTCCAGTTTGCGCTGCCTTCCTGCAAATTCTAGTCCTCCAGGTTTTTGGGACTTCAGCTTCCAGAAGCCTCAGCTGCTTTGGCCGTCAGGAATTCTGGGAGCTGAGGTTCAACACACCCAAAACAACCAAATCTTGGGAAGCAGTAGTTTAAAGGGATAGACATGTTATATAAGAAGCATGTCTTATTACATAGTAAATACATTCTTCAGCAAAGCCTAGAGAAGACAATTATGCTGGGGAAAGTGGAAGGCAAAAGGAAGAGGGGCCGACCAAGGGCAAGATGGATGGATGACATCCTTGAAGTGACTGGACTGACCTTGAAGGAGCTGGGGGTGGTGACGGTCGACAGGGAGCTCTGGCGTGGGGTGGTCCATGAGGTCACGAAGAGTCGGAGACGACTGAACGAATGAACAACAAACATTCTTCAGGGGTTTGGTTCCAGGGTGCATCTACATTATAGAATTAATTCAGTTTGGCATCATGTTAACTGCTATGGCACAATGTTTTGGAATCAAGGGAGTTGTTGCATTGAGCCATGGCAGTTAAAGTGGTGCTTATTCTGCTGTGTAAATATACCCAAGGAAAAGTAGGTTGGTGGGCAAGGGTCTAGTGATCTCCATTCCTATACTTATAGCTATATTTTTCACTGCTTCTGCTTCCATGGGTGTCCTCAAGCTTTGTCCCTATGCGTCTTGGGACTTTAACTCCCAGAAATAATAGTCAGCTTGGCCAGCTGTCCAAAACACTTTGTTGCTGTTATTTATTCATTCACTCAGTCACTTCCAACTCTTCATGACCACATGGACCAACCCATGCCAGAGCTCCCTGTTGGCTGTGGCCACCCCCAGTTACTTCCAAGTCAAGCCAAGGATACCATCCATCCATCTTGCCCTTGGTTGTCCCCTCCTCCTTTTTCCTTCCATTTCCCCAACATCATTGTCTTCTCCAAACTCCAAAACACTTATGGGAGCAAAAGTTGGTAACAAGCGCTTTAAAGGCATAGAGGTTATATAAGAAGTGTTCCTTGTTGCATAGCAAAAACTGTGGGCTCTGAACTTACAGTGGTTCCCAAACTTTGTTCCTAGAGGTGTTTCAGTCTTCAACTCCCAGAAGCTCCACCCAGCTTGGTTAACTACCTGAAATTCTGGGACTCAAAGTCCAAAGCACCTGGAGAACCAAAAGTTGAGAACTAGTGCTCTCAAGTGATAGGTAGGTTACATGAGAAGCATTGCTTATTTTCATAGTAAATACAATGGGCTCTTAGTATGAACCATCAAGAAGGTTAAGATAATCTGGGGAGGCCTTGCTCTTGGTCCCACCTCTGTCACAAGTGCGGGTGGTGGGGACAATAGACAGGGCCTTCTCAGTGGTGGCTCCTCGGCTCTGGAACTGCCTCCCTAGCAAGATTAAATCAGCACCCTCCCTCCTGACCCTTAAAAAGAGAATAAAGACATGGTTGAGGGATCAAGCCTTTGGCTAATAAATAATGTAGTAGGAAGAATAATTAAGGAACATGTACAATGACTATGATATACAATTTCTGGATCATGGGATTTTAATGTTTATACTAGGATGATTTTATGCTTTGTCTGAATGTTTAAATGTTATTTATGTCTTATCTTTAATAGTTTTAACTGTTTTTAAGTTCATAGTTATATGTAGCAATTAGTTATTATTATTTCTTTGTGTACTGTATGTTGGCATTGAATTTTTGCCATTAGTATGTTGTAAACCACCTTGAGTTCCTTGGGGGTGAGAAAGGTGGTATATAAATACAGTAAATAAATAATAGTATCTGCTGATATTTGGTTCCAGGTCCCTCCAAAATCTGTGGATTCTCAAATCACATGATATACAAAGTGTAGGGAAAGGGTGTACCTTATATAGAAGGGTAATATTATGATTGGTTTATGGAATGTGAAGAGGATATTTCCAAATTGTAGATGATGGAATTTTTTGATGCAGACTTTGTGGATACCGAGGATCAGTTGCATATCAAATAATGGAGCTGGGATGGGGAACATTTGGCTGTCTCTTGAGATGTTTTGGATTACTGTCTCTAATCCTCCCTAACTGGACATCCTAGCTGGGATTTCTGGGAACTGAAGTCTCAAACATCTAATTGGTCCTCTATGTCCATGACTTCTGCATCCCAAATGCATCCAAAATCCAAAGAATCAAAATTGTTCAGAAAATCACATTTCTCCAAATGTGCAGAAAAATAATATTTTCTCTACAGAAAATGTTTCCTGTGCAGTGTTAGACCTCATCACACTCACCAAATTCAGTGTCCTAGGAAACTTCCAGTCTGTTTTGGGGACGGAAATGCCGGCCATCACACAACATTGTGTGACTTCTGGTGGAGGCCCTGCCCCCAATCGGGGTGGAGGCATCTGTGGATGCTTCCCACACAACACGGGAGGCTTCCTATGTTGTACTGGCCTCAATGGAGCCAGCACAAATCCTCCCCAGAAGGGCGACACTTCCCACATGTGATAGAGAAAGCATCGTCAAGAAGAGCTGCTCGTGAGGCAACAGATTCACTCTGCTGCTAGGGACGTCTCAACCCATTACACAAAGTAAGCATTTGCAGTATAGTTGATTTTGCCCAGGGGCGCACTTGAGGCGCTCTTGGGGGAAAAGAGACCTTGACATATGCGAGTTGTAGTTACTGGGATGTATAGTTCACCTACAATCAAAGAGCATTCTGAACTCCACCAATGATGGAATTGAACCAAATATGGCACACAGAACTCCCATGATGAACAGAAAATTTCTATCAGTGATTGGTTGGGGGGGGGGCACCAAAATACTGTTTGCTTACCATTGAAAATTACCTAGGGCCGCCTCTGTCCGTTGCCCCCCTCTTTCCTCCACAAAACCAGACGAAGCCCGGTGATAAGGTCATAAACTCTTTTCCTTTACTACGGTCTAGGTCCACTTATTTTCCTCACCATAGCCTACTCTGGTTGATAGTTGATACCTATAGTTGCTTTGGAAGAAAACCTGCAAAGACCCCAATGGAAACTGCTCATACTGGAGTCATCTAGACTGCAACCATAGTAGAGGAGAGAGTTAAAGTCTTCAATTTCCTTGTTATTTACACATTTTTTTAAAAACCCACTCAGACATAAAAAACACCATGCCAATTTACTGTTTTAAAGGTCAGTTCACTGTTACATCAGCTTAAATCCACAATAAATAAAGGGTGTACAGAATTTTCTCATTTTCACCCTTGAAATAAAGATTTGGTTTTTTAAAAAAGTTTCATTTAAAGATTGAGTCGCCTGGCTCTTTTATATCTTGAGTAGAGTCTATTTCTTGATGAACTCAATAAACTTATATTATGACTTCTTCTTCACAATAGAGTATGATCCCCATATTATAGAAGTTAAGCTCCTGGGCATTTTGTAGATACATGAAACTGTGAACCCTATTGAAATTAAGTAGTTCTGGCCCAAGCATACCATTACGTTATGCTGGAAGATCTAGAAAATGCCTAAAGAGATGTATTTGGTCAGACGTGGATAAATAAAACTGCAGATACCAGTGCCATGGATATGTGGACCACACTGTGCTTCTGATAGCTAAGTGGGATGGAAGCCACAGGTAGATGGACTGAGACTCTGGTAATTGCAAAGTTGGTTCAAAACATTTTGCTGCTTGAGGAAAAAAGGACAAGATAGTATCTTCTTCTTTCATTCCATGTACACATTCTGACTTCAACGGCAGCAGAAACTTCCATTCTGGTAGTGAAATCGGGTCCTTTGCTCCTAAAAGCAGCAGACTAATTTAGCAGTGAAGGACAACTGGGGTGCAACATACATCTGTCTTTTTCAGAAGAAGAAAATATTCAGAGAGCCCCCCATCCCCCCAAAAAAAGACGTTTTGGGCAATCCCTGCTTGAACCTCCCAGAATAGAAGATGTGAGGTGGTTGCCTAAGCCTGCCTAGGACACTGGTCAACACACATTTTGATGCCTCAAATGTTAGTCCTGTTTATGGGCCCTTTTGACCCACCAATTCAAAAAACCACACCAGTTTCCCCCAATCAGCACTAGTTTTTGAGATACTGAACATATGCCACCTACCAGCTGCCATCTGCTCGCCTATAGAAAACCAGGATAACCATATCTTAGAAACTAAAGCTGATATGGTCTATTGAATGCAATTTTCTGAATCAATGCCTCAAATAACCTTATAAACAGGCCTAAAAACCAAGACACCTAATAGAACTGAGTAGCAACTCTTTATGTAACTACCCTGCATGAAATTATTTTTGTGTGCTTTCAAACTTACTGTCTTACATTCCTTTGTTTTATCTGGCTTGCAAATTGCTCAATCCTACTGTAAAATAAGGAGTTTTTTTTAAAGCCGTATTTCCCTCCTATCTGCTGGGAAGGGAAGAATGGAAACTGAAATGTTTGTTGCTATTAGACAAAAGTGAAGGGTATATTTTTTACATTTTAAATTGTCCCACTGTCTTTCTATTTCTTGTTTATCTGACCTAATGCAGAGAGATTCAGCTAGACCTCTAGATGGGCTCAATTTTCCTCCCTTGGGATACCAAAATTGAATGAACGGAGTAGAGGTAGAATGAACTCTATGTGGGAGTTTTCTCCATTCTGTTGATCTGTTTTTCTTGAACAATGTAAAATGTCACTATCAGCCATAGGTTATTAAAATATATTCATGGTAGAAGTTAGAAAAACACATTTCAGCAATTCAATTTAATTTGCATTTATTCAAAGTCTGGGCTTTGCAAACACAGTGAATCAAGAAGTGTTAAATGTCACCCTGTAATTACAATAGGTATCTGTTTCGGGT